ACTTTTCGTCTCTTGTCCCTCAGCATCAACTTTATTTATTTATTTTTTTTTGACGCCATATTAGATTTTTACACAGATGAATAGAGTTTTCAATTCTGATTTAAAAAATGTCAGACACTAAAATTTCCAAACCTTACTTATTGAAATTATCAGATAGTCATTTGTTTCGTATACCAGGTGTATCGCAAATCATTTTTATTTTTTCCTGACTTTAGTTGAGATGCCATTTCGAAATAAATTGAATCTTGTCATTTCCACCTTTTCTCTTCTACAAGATGGCGTGTTCAAATTTTCAGTTCGAGCTTTCTTCTTTCGACTTCCATCACCAAGTTTTTTATATGAACGCTATATTGGAATTTTGTACATTTAAATAGACTTTTCAGTCACAAATTCAGTGATGTATCTCCTTTGCTGTCGGAACGAAAATTATAAGGAAATAAAGAGGTATTGTGAAACCTGAACACAAAATGAAATTTTTATTGATAGTAATAACAATCATAATCATAAATAAGCAAATATTAATCATACCATATTTCAGAATGTCCGTTATTTGGTAGGCAAGGGTTGAATCTTCTGTGTACATTGTTCACTTTTCAATTTATTTCCCCTCCTGTGAGTCTTCCTAACCCTGTTACATGTTCAATTTGAAGTTTGGTCTGTTATACAAAATAAATGACTATGATAGTTTCAATGCCTACCTAGAAGATTCTGTTTCTCTGGAACGACTTAGGTTTGGCAATGCCAATGTATGATATATTATATTTTTGGGATCAGGATTAAAACTTCCATTCATCTGCGAGAAAATCTAATATGGCATCCATAAGAAGAAATGAAGTTGATGCTGGAGGACAAGAGACGAAACGTCATATTGACATTCTAATGATGACATCTCGTAGAGGAGAAAAAGTGGCAATGTTAATGTGCAATTTATTTTAAAATTCTATTACAAATAAAGTCAGAGCAAAATTAAAACGATTTTGGGAACATTTTTTTTTTTTTGGTTTGTCGTAGGTACTTTGAATTTCAAAACTTTTTAAGCGGAATGTTTACCTAAATACGCAACTTTGTCCCCATTTAAGGGACTTCGTATCTCTAACCGTTTCCGAGATCCCACTGGTAAAGTTCGAATTTGAAACACTTCGTTCTAAAAATATTGCCGCACAACGAAAAACGGACAAACGTATGATGTATATTTTGAACACTCCTAATAGGTAGGTACAAATAAGGAGGAGCTCAATCATCACAGATCACATAACAGTCATCCCATCATAAAAGTAACATAGTTAGTTACATAGTAATAAGACACATTTTTTCAAAGGGACAATAATAGGTACTGTGCGCTCTTAATATACGTCATTAATATCAAATAACTCCCCATTATACTCCAACAGCTTTACAGAAGTCGTTGAAGACTATAGATTTCTGAAGTTTCAGTATTACTAACAGGATCACTTATTTTTTAGTCAAAGGGAGACTTCGGTCCATGTACGTCAGTTAGTAGGACCAATTCCCGGGATTCAAAATTGAAAAAAGAGGGGGCAGTTTGGAGAAGTGAGACAGTCCCCAGCTTGAAAGCTGGATAATTTCGCATACCTAGCCAGCTTTTTGTCGCGGACAGCAAGACGGAGAGAGGCAAAAAAACAGACAGTAGTTCGTCTTCAGTAGGGAGAGGTATACATATGCGCACATTACAGCGATTCAATATCGGCCTTCTCGATTCCCTCAAAACTAATCTGTCGGCCAATTACCGGTGTTGACTAACTTCCACTTAAGAACACACGACGATTGTTTAGTCGGCCGACAGTTCAGTTCAATATTGCCAGCTCTAGTGAAATTTCACTAGATCTAGCGATTTTTGAACAAGTTTAGTGATTTAGTGAAAACTTTTGTTAGATGTCATATTACTAGTGATTTTTAAAAAGGTTTGTATCAAACAAAAAAAAGTAAAAAATACAGTGAAATGCATCCTTTTAAGCAAAAAAAATATCAAAAAAATTGAAATATTAGAAAAATTTATTTTATATTAGGTATCTCTGGCTTTTCTGGTTAAGTTGTATGACAAGATTTAAATAGTCTTTAACCCGCATATCACTAAAGTCTACATTCATTTCTTTGCATTTTGCATAACAGCACAAAGTATTGGGGGTTGACTTGATTTTATATTGGCATGTTGCAAATTTCCAGTGAGAAGTTAGGCAACGCATTATACTTTGCGTGTTGTGCATAATGCAGACATTAATCTAGACGAGTGGTCAACCTTGTCCGGCGCAAGGTTTCTCGGGGATTCACATAGTTTATTTTTATATATAGGCTTCGCAACGGGTGTTTGTTTCATTCTGAATATTCATTCTTTAGTGAACTTTACTCATTATTTTGTAACTTTGTTTATTGATTTACGTCTACATTAGTGATACGTTTTACGTCTACGTTTCACAAACCACTGAGTGAAGAATAAAAAGATTGTAGGTGAAATTATTATTCTAATAAATTTGGTTTTTATAGAAAAATTAGTCATTATATACATATTATTATTCACTGTATTATTAGCTTAAATATTTTGTAGGTAGTGAAACAGAATTCAGCTAACTCGTTTTGCCACTGAAATGCTGTCATAGCTTGCACCCTATATAAGATAGAAAAAAGATGAAAATTGCTTTAGATAGATACTTCTGCGTATTCAGTGGCGTACTTGAAAAAAATCAGAGGCGTCGTTCAAGAGATATGACCCTAATTTAGTTTTTTTTTGAACACCCTGTATTTGCACTTTGAATATGAACATTAATATGAGTATGAAATAAAATGTGAGCACCGCGTATTTATGCCCCTCATTAATTATTATATTGCACAAAAAAGTGGCACAGGTTCCCGAAAACTGTAAAGGTCTATCTTTAAAAATATCCAAGATACCCTGCAATTACTAGCAAACTGGGACACAGTGTACATATTTGAATTTTTTTTCTTCAAAACAATTTATTTTACAAAATATAAAATGAGATAACGTTAACAATAAAAAAATACTAATCTATACCTGATTGAGGAAAAAATTAGTTTGTAATAAAGGTTAAAATCTTTTTTTGTTTTCAGCCCATCAGATACCAAAATGATAAAAAAAATTGTTGGTAATTAAGAAAAAAGTTGACGCAGTTCGGCCATTATCTCCACAACAAGGTCCAAGCAAAGCGACTTCAGTTCAAGAAGAATCCGGGGAAACGAAACCGGGTACAACAAATGAATTAGACTCCACTTCTGATTCTGATAATTCAGTATCCAGTAAGATCCAGAAGACCAACCAACCTCAAAAGAAAAAATATATTCCCAAAAATACAAGGCTGAGTGGGAGCAGCATGAAAATTTTAAGAACTCTGTGCAGCCAAGTTCCTGTGGAAGCTATTTTTCCAGTGCAAGGTTTGCAATTATGATTATTCAGGCGGCATATGAGCAGCTATTAAACATGGTTATTCAAAAAAGCATATAAAAAATTTAAATATTATGGTTAAGCAGCCAACTATGTCAAAAAAGTATTTCAAATTTCTTCTGATAATATAGTAAAACAAAATGAAATTAAAATTGCAGCTTTTACTGCAGAGCATAATATCGCAATAAATGTGTCAAATCATGTTAGCGAACTTATAAGATCTATTTTTTTGTCTGGAAAGCCTAGCGAAAAAAATATTTGTAAGCCGAACTAAATGTTCGGCAATCAGAAACAATGTATTAGGGAAAATAAGTTTTGAAAATCTTATTAGTGACTTAAATTGCCATAAATGTTCATTATTAGTTGACGAATCGACAGATTTGTCATCCGAAAAACATTTAGCAATTGTTGTCCGGTACAATAAACATTTTAATATAAAGGATCATTTTCTCGGCCTTATTTTAGTTAAAGACGCTTTAGCCCAAAATTTATACAATGTCATTATAAGTTTTTTTTTTCGAAAATAAAATACCATACAAAGATAATTTAGTATGGATTTGCAGCAGACAAACACTGATAATGTGGCTCGTGTGCGCAAAGTTTTAAACTCAGACCGTCGACTAAGTATTCGTTTAATTGCCCAGATGTTAAATTTACCAAAATCTGTGGTTCATGACATTGTGACACAGCATTTGAACATGCGCAAGGTGTGCGCGAAGATGGTCCCAAAAGTGCTCACTGACGACCAGAAATTGAAGCGAGTGGAAGTGTGCCAAGAAAATTTGAACATGTGCGAAAGTGACCCCCAATTTTTGAATAACGTAATCACAGGTGACGAGTCGTGGATCTTTGAGTATGATCCCGAGACAAAGAGGCAATCTTCCGAGTGGCACACGACGGCGTCTCCTCGCCCAAAAAAGGGAAGAATGAGCAAATTCAAAGTGAAAACGATGCTCATTGTCTTTTTTCCGCAGCCGCCCCTACAGCCCAGATGTGGCCCCCCCGGACATTTTTTTGTTTCCTCGCCTGAAAAGGCCGATGAAAGGCAAGCATTTTGAAACGACAGAGGGGATCCAAGCAGCATGCACCGCGGCTCTCAAGGCTATTCCGGAAAATGCCTTCCGTGACGCCTTCAACGCCTGGAAATCGCGCTAGCAGCGCTGCATCGACGCAGAAGGAGCCTATTTTGAAAGTTTTTAAAGAATTGTAACGATTGGCTCAATAAAATTGTTTAAATCGACTCAGTCCTATTACTTTCCGGACAAACCCTGTATTGAGCAATATGATATTCTAGAAAATTATTCTAGAATTGAAACATTCGATGAAGCTTCAGGAGCAGCGGAAATCCATGACATGCCTAATAATAAATTAAATAAACTATATCTTCTTTTTTGCATTTTATTTTATCGACTGTTGTGGATATGAATTTGGAATTCCAGTCTGAAACCCCCAAGGTACATAACCTTTACTCTCCGGATTAATGACGCGTGTAAATTTTTATTAAGCTGTTTCATAAAATCAGAATATATAAGAAATAGACAGATATACATATCTGTATATATACTGTTTAATGTTCAATATCGAAATCCAGAACATTTTCTTCCAATGGAAAAATTTACTTGGGTCCAAATGTATTGGAAGGAATGAATAATCCGTTTTTTTACCGAAAATATCAAACATAGTTTCAGATTGAAATGTCTGGATTTTTATATTGAAGCGGTAAGCCAAATATGGAAGCGATTATTCCCCTTTAATTCCCGAGAAGTAGAGATTCTCAAACTAATAACTTTTCTGCACCCATCAAATATATCATCAACTGAAAGCATAGGTACTCTGGCTAGTAGATTTCCAAATATAGTTGAAGACATTTAACAATTTAGATAAAGAATTTAGGCAGTTGCAGTTTTCTGAATGTGATTTTTCGCTTGGTGAAATTCAATTCGGGTAAACATAAGCAATATAAAAAAGGGGATGATAGTCTCGCATACCCAGAGCTTGCCAATGTTCAAATTTTATTTACATAGCCACACAGTAGCGCAAGTGTGGCAAGATTATTTTTTTACATTAATTTAAACAAAACCAAATTGCGTAATCGACTGGGTGCTACGACAATAAGTGGAATTTTGCACAGCAAAATACTAATTAATGCCGAAGTTAAAATTGCTTTAATTTTCCAATTTCAAGGGACATTATAAAAAAACATAATAGTAATATGTACTCGTAATAATGTCATTCTTTTTAAATTTGTTTATTTTAATGTAGTTTTAAATAAGCTATATTTAATTTCGTTTTTATTGTTACGTTTTTATGCTTTGAAATATGTTTGGTGTTTTGTTACTTTTGTCTGATGTTTTTGTATTCTTGGCTGTCTGTTCAAATTTAAGTTTTTGTTGTTTGTTTTAAGAGTGTTTTATGAATCTTTTTACATAATAATATGTACTCGAAAGAAAGTCATTCTTTTTTAAATTCGTTTAGGTTCATGTAGTTTTAAGTTATATTTAATTTCATGTTTATTGTTACGTTTTTAAGCTTTCAAATATATTTGGTGTTTTATTACTTTTGTCTGTTTATATTTATGGTTTCTTTTAAGTGTCTGTACCAATATACGTTTTTGTTCTTTGTTTTTAACCCTTTCAAGGCATATTTTTAAATTTTTTTTTTAATTTCATTTATAGCTGTGATAAGTGATAAGATCTCAAAAGCATTAAAAATAGCCCAGAAAATTTTTCCATTTGGAGAAAAAGGAATTAGTAGGCGGTATCACCATGATACCACCAGGCACTAAAATAATACAATGCAGATATTACTGAAACATATATTTAATTAAGATAATGTTATAAAAAGGAGTTTGAAGCAAAATCATACAACTTATTTGCTATGATATTTTTCAAAGCAATTTTTTTGATCAGTGAGACACAAACCGACATTGCAAGTACTGCACGACCATCGCGTACGGTGTTGTTCCGCTTTTGTGCTGCAAAATGCACATCTTCTCGAAGACGAATGGTTTGGCATATGAGCAGCTTGGTCTGTGCGCTTTTCTAGAGGAATGTTTGCTTTGAATTTGTTTGGGGGCATCTTAGTACTTGGTCTACCTCTTCGGGGATTTTCAGAAGCTGCACCAACCAATCCAGTTGCTACACTCAAACGAAAACTTTTCAAATCTAAGGATTTTTCCTTACACCTTTCAGTGTATAGAATATATGCATTAACTACATTTTTTGAAATAAACACTCAATTTATGACCACGCACGCCATTGACCTGCACACTGCGAAAACAAATCGATAAATGTCAAATAACAAGCTGTTAGGAATGGCCTCCTATGTAAATAATTTTTTTTCATACTAGTTGGCAATATAGTACTACTTCTTGCACGGTGGTATCGGCAGATAACCACTCCGCAGCGCCGTGATAAATTATTAAAAAGGTGGTTTCATGGTGACACCACAAAGCTTGAAAGGGTTAAAAGTAAAGCCTTAAAAATTGAAATAATATTTTATTATTTTATTTACTTCTATATATAAAAATATATACGGGTGTTCCTTAATGATATGCGAATATTTAACGTGTGAATCTACATGAAAAATTAATGTTTGTTTGCTTTATAAACTATGGTAAAAAAATTTTTAATTATTGAAGTTTTAGGAAAAAAATGGAAATGAATTAATATTTTCAGAACCGCTTCAGATATTTTACTGATATTTAGTGCGTAGTGAAAGTTAATAAAGTTGCATATTTTTCAATGCAAAAATAATTGTTAGCTTTAACAGTGGCGTGCGTACGGGTATTGACTTCGATATTTTTTAAGAAAAAAATGGTACGCCAAATAAAAATTATTTTTGAATTACTTCCCATTGATTTTCCAAGCCGTGTGACCTTCTGTCAGTGGTACCATATCTTCAACAAATTACACAAAATCCGCAATTTGAATCAATGATTCTGTTCACGGACGAAGCTAATTTTTCTCGAAATGCCATTCAGAATTTCCACAATAATCATTTGTGGGCAGAAGAAAATTCCTATGCCGTAACTGAAACCCATTTCCAACACCAATTTTCGGTTAACGTATGGGCAGGAATTATTGGCAACCACTTTATTGGCCCATTCTTCTTGCCGGCATGACTTGACGGACAGGCTTACCTCAATTTTGTTCAACAACAGTTGCCTTTGCTGCTTGATGATGTTCCGTTAGTAATAAGAAACAATATATGGTACATGCATGATGGTGCACCAGCGCATTTCAGTGTAATTATTTACAAACTGTTTATCCAAATCGTTGGATTGGCCGCGGTGGGCTCCAAGAATGGCCACCAAGGTCCCCAGACCTCAACAGTTTAGATTCATTTTTGTGGCTCTATCTTAAGACATAGTGTACACAAGTCTCATTAACACTGCAGAGGAATTAAGAGAAAGAATAGTTGCAGCTTGTGATAGAATAAAAAACACTCCAGGAATATTTCAACGAGTGATCAATTCCATGAGAAGGAGCGCTGAAGCATGCATACTAAGTGAAGGGGGCCATTTTCAACAATTTTTGTAATCATTTCGTTGGTTTTAATGTTATGTTTATGTTGTCAGTTGTTGTTGTTCATTACCCCTAATGTGTTTAATTTTTCCAATTAAATTAATAATAATTTTGCAAGTTAGACAATAGAACGGTTTTTATTTTTTTACTCAAAAATGACGCATTGAAGGAAAACAATTCAAGAGAGATAATATTTGTTTTAAATTGAACGGGGTGTTCAAAAATAATTTTTATTTGGCAAAAAACCATTGGCGTATTATTTTTTTCGTAAAAAATATAGAAGTCAATACCCGTACGCACGCCACTGTTAAAGCTAAAAATTATTTTTGCATTGAAACATATGCAACTTTATTAACTTTCACTATGTACTAAATATCAGTGAAATATCTGAAGCGGTTCTGAAGATATTAATTAATTTCCCTTTTTTTCCTAAAACTTCAACACCCCGAGTTTTTGTAAGGAAACATTTTTGGACTATAGTTTATAAAGCAAACTAACATTAAATTTTCATGTAGATTCACACCATTAAATATTTGAATATCATGAAGGAACACCCTGTATAATAAAAAATCTAGTGATGTTTTTACTCAATCTAGTGATTTTTTAGCAAAATTTCTAGTGATTTTTATTTTTTGTACTTGGCAACATTGGTTCAGTTCGCTCCGAGTTTTGTAGTCGGGCAGTCGTACTTTTTCGGGTAATCAAGTAATTTGTAATGCATTTTGTGAAAAAAAAAATTCACTAACGAATCAATCACTGAGAATGGGATCCACCCAATACTCGGAATCACTTCTTGATTTTTGTTGTCCGTTGTATGAGAGCAATAATAATATTTCCCGGCAATAGATACTGTATTTATTTTCATTGTGCGACTGCTTACGTCCACAGTCAGATACAAACTTGTATCGTTCGGAATAGTCGGCGTCGGCCGACTGTTGGCTAGTCGCAGACTCTTCGACTCTTCACCGACCAAACTGTTTAGTTGACTGGGTGTGCGCACTAGCAGCCCAACCCAAACAAACTATCGGCCGATAGAAGGTCTGCAGTCTGCGGGGGCCCTAAGTATAACAAACAAACAAACTACTTTCCACGTAACCCTGATATGACTTCCAGTTAACTAGTGGATATGAATGTATGCAGATGTAAAATACATCGTCTAGTACCTATTCTGACCAGAAAACTAAAATATAGTTGCTTAATACATGGTATCTGCAAACAATAATGTTTATTAGAAAATAATCAGGACTCACGGAAGGACATCATTTTGCACAGCCACAGATCTCCACATGCACTAGAGAGTTTTGTCCAAATTACCACCGCCGATTTCGTACAGACGAGCGAGTTACGTGAAAATCACTCGCGGACTTTAGTTTACACCTGACCGATACGTTCTATGGATTACGTACGATCAATTATTTTCAATTAGTAAAAATCGAAGTTCCAACCGAAAAGACCGTGCAGACACGAAAAACGCCCCGAAACTAGAAAAAACAATTGAATACAAAACAATTGAACCGGGCCAATGACAAGTCGCGTATTTCCAAGATTTCAAAGTTGCCTATCCTGCCGTGTGGTGGTTTATTCCTCTTATAGGCTGGTCAAATAAGGACAGAATGAGGCTCTAAATTTTAGATTTTGCACTATCTATGTCAAGCTCCAGAATGATGTTGGATCACATGACATTAATTGTAAATCAAAAAATGGCGTTAAATAGGCAGTGACTAGGTTAAAAATACAGATTCATGGCCTCCTGGATCCGCCTTTGCTTGAGCTGCCGCTCGCAGTCTGCCACCCCGGGCCATGAACTTTAGGCCCTAAACTAAATACGTCCCCGATTGAAGTTGAATAAATTGGAAAAAACATGTAGCTTACTTTCGTGAATACTACCGAAATCAATATGGATGCTTGGATATTTTGCAGTTCCATAAAGTTCTTATATGTATAATTGTAATGACCGTTCTTGGCGTTACGTCATCAATGCCGTTTGAAATAAGTGAACAGATCGAGTCTCCGTACCATGGGCGGAACACTGCGCAGACTAATCTTCAGCGCATCTGCTACTCTCTCCAGTACGCATGGAGTGGGTAACAGGAACCGTTGTTTTCACTCTCTTCCTGGAAATATGCTCTAATAAATTTAGCACGAGCTGTCGGCCTTCTCCATTTATCGTATTTCCGGGCATTGTACAATTTTATATTGAAGATTGATAACAGGACATCTCAAATCGCATGCCGATGTCAAGTAAGTTTTCACTCTGACAAATATGATTGAAGGGCACTCATCTACGTAACCACAAAGTTTTTGACACGGAGTCACACAACTCTAAAACGTATACTTTATCTGAAGTCACTTGAAATAGCATAAAAACCTTTGGTCGGCGCGTCCTTTGTAATTTCATGACGTATCATAGGCGTGCGGTCATTTATTTAGAACGATAATAATAATGTTTTTATATCACAATAAATGGATTTTACTATCTTCTTATTTTTTGATTTGGGATAAAAAATACCTATATTGGGAGTTTAATTTATGTTGACTGAAAGTTAAGAAATGGAAAAATTACAGAATTCCAACGTTTGACATAGGCAAATATTTACATAGCAGGTAGGTATATAATAAGGTATATAAAGACTTACATTATAGGTATTTATATATCATCCTCGCCTTCGGAGCTGTCGCTAGAGTCATCTTGTAGAGGAATTACAACGGGATTTACAGGAGGCAAAACACAATATTCATTTTCTTTTTCAATAATATGCCTAGAACACTGCTTCCATAGGTCTGTGGCAGCAATATGAGATACTGCATCTCTTATTGTGGCCAATAGCGATTCACTTAATTGAGGGGTCTGATTATGTTTTCTTACTTTTTTTTTAAAGCAGCCCAGACCAACTCAATCGGGTTAAAAATGCAGTAATAGGGAGGTAGACGTAATACTTCATGGCCATTTTGCTGAAGCAGATTGTCAACAACATACTCTTTTTCAAATTTTTGTCTTTTAATAAGATCCAATAATATGGCTTTGGTTGATTTTTGTGGTATTTCCATTCCCTTATCCTTCATAAAATCAATAATGTCTTGTTTTTTTGTGCCTGTATTCGGAATTTTGTTTTTCTGTCGGGAATGGTATGGCGCATTGTCCATAATAATCACTGAATTTGGGGAAATGTTTGGTATTAACTGCTGCTCTATCCACTTTTCAAATAAGTCGGAGGTCATGTCCTCATGATAGTCGGCACATGATTCTTTGATATTTTTGGCAGATAACAGCAAGGCATTAGGTATAAATCCATTTTCACTGCCAGCATGGAGAATAATGATTCGTTTTCCACGGTTGCATGGTGCATTTAAAATTCACTTGTTGCTGTCGTCAACCCAGCCGTACTGCACAACATCATGGGTATCATACCACGTTTCATCCAGGTAAATCAGATTTATTTTCTGCTCTCTATAGATTTTAACTTTGTGCAAACATTCTTGGCGCAATTCAACGATTCGAAACGACTCCATAATCACCATTATTTTATCTAATTTTTTGTATTGAAAACCACACAGTTTTACAATACAGTGCAGTGAGTCTAAGCATTTGTAATTATAAAAATCTTCAGGATAATCTTTTAATTTATCCCGTATCATTTCCAACGTGGGCACCAAATTTTCTTTATAAAATCCGTATATTATACGACGAATATCTTCCTGAAAACCCACGTCTATTCTTTTTAATTTTTGCCCTATGCGCTTTCTGTGGAAGGAATGGTTGACTACATCTCCCCTTTTTATAACCCGATAAATGGTAGACCGACTGATTTTTGTCAGGATACAAATTCTGTTTAAAATTTGATTTTGCGAGGAATCTGGATTTTCGTTTTTCAGACAATCATACATATTTAGGATTACTCTTTGGGTCTGTTCCTTTAAATCTTTATGAAAGAATTCTGCCTGCACAGGTTCATCAACCATCTCCTCGTGGCTTGGAGCATTTTCCCAATGTCTCCAAAGAGCCATATTTAGGACACACAAGAACAATCAACACAACAATTAAATCAACACTAAACTGAGTATTCAAAAGTCAAAAACACACAAACTAATAAAATCTATGAAAAAACACGGACAGACTAAAGAAAACACGTTTATTCACCGCTACACGGCACTGGCTAAACTGTTTCAATTTTCAGTAGCCACCTGCACTTGTTCGGAGCTCTGAAATACACGGTTTCTCATTGGCTATGTCCACGCATAGGCGTGCTTTACTCCACGTGGACCGGTGAAACTGCCTTTGATCTTATACGGGGGATATTTGCTGCGAAATTTGGCGATTTTTGCAGCAACAGAGCGTGTTAAATATAGATATATAAAACGCACCCGGTATTTCACAGTGTTTCAAGTGACTTCAGATAAAGTATACGTCTTTGAGCTTACCGAACAAACGTTCACACACAGGGGTAGGTTGCATGTGTATGTATGAGGGAGATGGAGATATATAAAGGGATACTGGTAGTCTACAAGAACGGTGACTACAACTACTATAGCAGGAGTAACACCCATACTGTTAACCGATGATGATAGACCGTTTTCGCTGCTACTGCTACTAGAAATACTAGTATTGAACAGTCGTCTCACTAATTGCTGTTTGACAACACCGAAACTATTCAGGAACTTACCGCGTGGCTCCTTTGAATACGTCAGCGAAATGCGCTGACATATCAAAGAGGTTAATTGAATTTAAAACCGAGATCAAAGGCATTCAACCCCTTCGTCTTGCCAGAGACGTGCTGCTTTCACTTCCTCGATGATCATCTAAGCACCTTTTGAGTAAACGCTCTTAATCATTAAGACCCTTCGCGATTACGTGTTATGCCTGTATGTATATTGCGAATTTGCACGATTTAATTTTATGTGCGGATATTGACGCTAAGTACTGCGTCGAGGGAATATATCCCATACTAAAATTAAATTACTTTTTTTTGGCTGCCAGGTTTCTAGACCGTAATTTGAATGCTAATTAACACTTTGTATATGTAATACACAGTTCCTTTCTCCGTCTTCATTCCGTACAAGGCGCGTTCCCAGGGCTCCGGCTTGATGGGGAGCTCATAAATGCTCAAAAATCAAACAAAATTCAAAGAAAAAATTTCGTAGTACCCCCCTTAAGATTAATCTTTATAGCGTTATTTTGGAAGAAACTATACTTGTATATCGATTTTGCTTCCTGTTAATACCTTTATCACAGAATAACGTATTTTCCTCCTTGATAGAAATACATTTTAACACAGGGTAGCACAAAATGAACGTTCTTTCATGCATAACCTTTTTATTTGTGCGATAACCGAAATAAATTTGCATTAAAAGTATATTATACTAGTAGAAAATAAGATCGCATGAAAGTCATTAACCTACAGCTTCCGATACTCGTATTCTTCCGTAACATTAGCTTTCCGTGATATTTTTTCGTAAGAGAGAAAGAAGATGGCGTAGTCAAATTTTCAATTCGACATTGTTTATTTCGACTTCACCAACTTTGTTTTTCATATGAACGCTGTATTGGATTTTTGTACATCTGAGTGGCCTTTTTTGTCCCAAATTCAGTGGCCATGAATTTGTTGTCGGATAAAAATTATAAGAAAATAAAAAGGTATCGTGAAACCTGAACACAACATGAAAATTTTATTGATAGTAATAACAATAATAATCATAAATAAGCAGAGGTCCGCTATTTTGTAGTAAAAGCATGACTCTTCTCTGTACATTATTCACTGCTCGATTTACTTCTTTTCTGAGTTTTCCAATCTCTGTTCCTATGTTTGAGGTCTGGTCTGGGATACGAGACAAATGAGAGCTGATAGTTTCAAGACTTACCTAGGAAATTCTGTGTGTGGAATAACTAAGGTTTGGCAATGTCAAGACCATATATGACCCTATTTTTAAAATAAGAATTACAAGCTCGATTCATATGTGACATCCATAAGAAAAAATAACGTTGATGCTGGAAGACCAAAGACGAACTTCATATTAGAATTCTGAATGTGTCATCTTGTAAAGAAAAAAAGAGGCAATATTAATGTGCAATTTGTTTTGAAATCTTACAATTAAAGTCAGGAAAAAAATCAAAACGATTTTGTGAAAATTCGATTTTCCGCGTCTCTCTACGGGGGAAGTTTGAGTTTCGAAACCTGCTAAGGGGCATTTTGTTGATTACCTAAATACGAAACTTTGCCCTCTCTTAAGCGACTTCGTATGTCATAGTTTCTGAGAATGGTGTGGGTCGAATTTGAAACACTCTGTATAGACGGAATTCACACGGGCGGATCGCAGACACAGTCAATGACCATTGTACGAACAAACTTGAAGAATACGTTTTCGTTTCATTTCATTGATACCTCGGGTTTGGATAGTTTTCGACAGTTTTCATTAATAAATACTGCAGCATTAAGCAATTTTGAACGCCAGCCAGTAATGAAAATTGGATTTTCTTGCAGTCCCTCACGTAAACATTCCATCAATCACAACAGACTGACTTTGACAGGGAACTATGATTCAATTGGAGTTTTGACATCCCCGCTTATAGAATGAAATTATCCAGTAATCACTTTTAAAAGCCACATATTGGTATTACCAGTTTATTTTAATGCTGCCCCACTCTTGCATTTCTCTGGTCGGAAGTAACATCACATTGCTTTGTATATGAAACAGAATAAATGTCGGATGAACGTACATACAAGTAAATAGAACAGACTAAAACAAATTAATTTATTCAGACATTGACAAGGAGTGTGAAGAATATGGGGAATGGCTGTATCACATTATACTCTCAAATAAATGTATAGGCATTAAGAGATGCAAAATTTAAAAAAATATATGAGTACGTCCATCGTTACAAAATAATTTGTAGGAGAGAAGAAAATTAATATATTAGGATTACACTATAGTCTGGGTTCAACATTAGGTATATTTTTCCTAATAGAAACAACAATAATATACATTGAAATAATATATCTTTAATTGCTGTGACAATGAAGTCGTGATTTTATGGGTAAATGAGAAATACAGTTCATACATATAAGAGTGGATTCGGACCAATTTTGCTTATACATCATGCATTTAAATAAGATGTTTGAAACTATGTTTGAATCTCTCTGATTCACGAATCCAAAAATCCCATAAAATTACCTCCAATAATAATGATAAAAACCAAATAGAACATTCAATATTATTTTTGTCTTGCTTTTTGTACTGACGACAAAACTAAAAAACTAAAGTCTTTAAAAATCTAACTTATAAAATATTGTCAGCATTGAGTATAAATAATAGTGTACTTCACAAATTTCAAATTAAATAAATGATATAACATTTTCTTTTATGCAATCTTTTATCAAGTTAGCGTTCCTAGTGCACTTATAACACCATGTATTGTAGTAGGGCTCGTGGTCGATGAGATGGCCAGCTTTATTTTATCCAAGCATCATGAAGATGAAGATAACCTTTTCCTAGATCTAATTAAGAGCATGTACTTTTAAAAAAGAGAAAACCCCCCAACAAGTAGAAGTACCGGTCAAACGCCGTCCATGTTACTATTTGGTAGAAACCAATTACCGTAAAATCATACAACTTAATAGTCCTATTATGATCCAAAATGACCTGTCCATTTTTGTCTTTAAAAGTTCGAAAGTGCTGCCGCCAAGTGAATTTAATGTGTATCATTATTGCCTATGGGTATAAGTCTGATAGTTACCGCGCTTCTAACTAGATGGCAACACCGCTCGGTAAGGCAATCCGGCCGACAAATTTTATGGGATGACGAAACTTTTATTTGAAAACATTACTTGCAGTTTGTGCCGAGTTTCGCGGTTTGTTTTTGTTTGAAGGTAAGCTAATAGTGACTACTTTGTGCAAATAGTTTTTCACATATAGGTGTTGTTATAAAAATTAATCGAAAAATAATAATTTTTCGTACTTTGGTTTCAACAATAGTCCTATGATTTTTTTGGACCATATTTAGAAGTTCATTTTTATTACAGGTGTGGATGGATGACTCACTGAAAATGTCCAGAAGAAAGCTAGGAGGCAGGCCATACAAGTATTAATGCGACAGACAGATGGAACTGTGCCTATCGGATATAGAAAACAGAGTATTAACTCAAAGGGAGGCGTCAGAAAAATATAAAATACCAAGATCTTCAATAATTCTGAAAATAAAACCAATACGCAACAATAGTGTTCGCCCACCTGGTCGGCAATGTGTATTCACCACGAAAGAAGAATCCTCATTCATCGATCACGCCATCCAAATGTGTTACTTTGGGTTCCCAATCACTTTATTTGACCTACGATGCATAGTGAAAACATATTTGGACAAGCAAGGAAGAAATGTGCCACAATTTTCAAATAATTTTCCAGGTCGTACATGGGCTCAACTTTTTTTAAAGAGACACAAATCAGAGCTTTCGCATAGGTTCTGCAGCAATATTAAACGTGTCCGAGCTGCAGTAAATGAAGAAGCTATCAAGAACTATTTCAATCATTTGAAAATGGAAATTGAGAATATCCCACCTCACTTGATTTATAATTACGATGAGACTAATTTAGTTGATGACCCAGGAAAGAAAAAAGTTCTAACAAAACGTGGCACAAAATATCCAGAGGCTATTAAAAACTCAACGAAAGCCGCCTTTAGTCTGATGATGTGTGGAAATGCCGCAGGTCAACTGTTACCGCCATATGTTAATTACAAAGCTGAACATTTGTGGGACACTTGGACCGAAGGAGGACCTTCCAATACTCGATACAATCGATCTAAATCGGGTTGGTTTGACGCTAATAGTTTTGAAGATTGGTTTTTCACCACAGTGTTACCGGCACTGAGAAGAGAAGAAGGAAAGAAAGTAATAATTGGAGACAATTTAAGCTCACATCTCAGCTACAAGGTAGTCAAAGCATGCGAAGACCACAACATAGCGTTCGTCGCATTGCCGCCTAACAGTACACACCTTACAC